AAGTGACATTTAGTAGTAATGAATGCATTTTTCTCAATTTGCTTATAAACATCGAGGTTAACTTTTATAATAAACTTATTTCGAAAATTTTATATACAGGGTAATTCACATTACTTGTCGAATTCTTAATACCACCTGTAATACATTAATCAATCACAATTTGATTGAAAAAAATACATTAAATATGCAAAATGCAAACAATAAATATAATACACTAAAAACTACTTTAATTCAACAAAATATAATGAACATTATTTCAAAATTGAAGTAATAATTTTATCTATTTTTATAATTTTTTGCAAGATAGGTGATATTCAGAGCCAGTTTCATAATCGAAGCTTTAAAGTTAATATTGGTTTAGGACGTGAAATTTTTTTCAACAAGTCTGTAGTAATCAGCACATTCGAAACAACATATCATTTAATGCTTTTTTAAATTCGATTATGAAATTGGTTCTTTGCACAGTTTTGCTTATAAAAAAATCGAGGTCAACTTTTATAATAAACTTATTTCGAAAATTTTATATACAGGGCAATACACATTGCTTGTCGAATTTTTAATACCACCAGTAATACATTAATCAATCACAATTTGATTTAAAAAAATTTAACGTTAAATAAAAAAGTTGCAAGAAAACAAATGCAATTAAATGAAAAACATAATACAGAAGACAAAATAATATTAAAAATAAATGTCATACACCATAATTGCCAAATTTACATTTGTAACTATTGTGATGTTTTTTTTTTGGAGTAAGATGAAAAAAACACAATATCCAATATATGGACAAATGACACAAGATAATTAATAAACAATTTTAACACAACCAAAGATTGAAGAAAAATTATCCCAAAATCAAAGTAATAATTTTTACTAATTTTTTTTGGTTCTAATTTTTTTCCATTCATTTAATATGAATCCAAGTTGTTTATAAAAAGTCGAGGTCAACTAAACTTATTTCAAAAATTTTATGTTCAGCATTCACATTACTGTCGAATTTTGGATACCACCAGTAATACATTAATCAATGACAAATCTATTTAGAAAAGTGTAACATTAAATATGCAAAATACAACTAAATCTAAAACATATTACAAAAGAAAAAAATTGTCAAGTTCTGTATTTCACGTTTAATTTAAAATTTGTAGTGTTTTATGAATGACCCTGTATAAATCAGAGTTGCGAAAAAGCTAAAACATGAATCAACACAAAGACTGAAAAACCTGAAATACAAAAAATTTTTGTTTGAACTTTGACATTTGAAAAGAACAAAGATTGATAAAAAATGGAATCAGTTTAATTTTTCGGAGCAACGAAAAAAATACAATAATCAAAGCTGGCTTCACAAAGGGTAATAGAAATAACACAAAAACAATTGCAAAATATGAATTTCAGACACAAGCTCGACTTGCCAATTAAGTCTAGAAAAAATTGCCCCAAATTTGTCATAAAATTGAAGTTGGAAGCAGCTTCACCGTCTGAATTCCATTAGGGGCCTCACAATCGCATTATCTGACACAGGTGCAATTAAGAAACTCGTTTGAAAATTAACAGAATCGCTCCATAAGCTAACAGTAAATCGAACTAGAAGTAATTACCAATTCGTTCAAACCTCTATCTCTTCTTCACTCATAATTAATTATAATTGTGGGAAGTCGATGGTGGCATTTCACCCGATTTAATAAAGCACGACTAGTCGTAAATTAATCCAGAAAAAAATCGTTATGAAATGTTAGGTGCGGTACGATCCACTTTGGATAATGTCAAATCCAAGGAAATTTTGTTTATGAAGTGAGATAAACTACATTTTATTGGATTAAATACATTGTAGCACAACTAATTAAGGTTGAACTATATTCAATAAAAAAATAAATTCGTCATTTAAAAATTCTGAACAAAATATCATAACTTTTTGATGGCCTTAGCAGCAATATATATAAATTTGAAATTTTTTGTCCGTGCCGTTAAAAAATAAATTTAAAAGAACCTCTATTTTTGGCCATTTTATGTTTTTTTATAAAAAAACTGTACGGAAGAATTTTTTGATTTATTTTTAGCGTATTGTAGATTACTCACTTATGTCACTGAATGTTTTACACGCAATTTAAATAATGCGTTATTTCATAAAAAAATGAAAACTATTGAATTTTGTAATCCGTTACAAATACTCAAAATGAGATAAAAACTCTGTGTTACTGTGTGTGTGTGAGGTACTTTTTTAATTCAGGAACAACATCCAATTGTTAAAAAACCCATTTGTTTACAGTACTTCTTAAAAAAAATTCAAATTTTTGTGGTGGTACATTTTGGAACTGGCTAGAGTGTAGTCAGTAGTGTAAATAGTTTTGAAAACTGTAATTTTGTAAGAGTAATTTTCTGTAAAATGACTGAAAATTGCAAAAATTTCAAATAAAAGAAATCATAATTTTTAATAAATTAAGTACTATATTTTTTGTTTGTTCCAATTCATTATATTATAACAACCATTGTGGCGTCACCACTTACTTATCTTTCTTTTTTAGCCAATGAAATTAAAAGAAACAAAGCAAAATTAATTATTTGAAAATTGACAAAAATGCTAATACCAAGAATTAGTTTTTCAATTTAGTTTCGCATCTTCTGATTGATATGCTATTGTTAAATTAAATTTCTAATATTAGTGAAATGTATGCGGGAAATCGGTTTCACATTTGAATAAGATAAGATGCATGCTATCAATATTTTGAATAGGAAAAAAAAGCAAATTTCTTAAAACTTCAAATATAATTTTATAAATTAGTAACTAGAGCTCGGGGGCGGTTTAATATCCACACATGAATATTGAGACTTTCAGCTTCTTTTTCTTTGTTATTTTTTAGAAATGAATCTGGTTCATATTTATAGTGAAATGATTATTTTGAATCAGACCAGAATTAAAATCTAACTAAAAATAAATTATTTTGACCACATTATCATTCTGATTCTGATTCTACTCCACATAGTCTACAAAGATCGTCATTACTGCTTTTGATTATGTATTTTTAAAATGCTAAGTAACATACTTACATATGATATCTTAAATTGCCTAACTTTAAAATTTGACGTGCTATGGAATTTTCTTTATCATTTTTGAGTTTAGCACATGGAAATGAACAAAAACTAACTGTTTTCTTTTTATATATTATGTATTAAAATTATTTATGAAGCTGTTTACGAGTTTTTTTTTAATATTACTATGTGATACTTTATTTGACTGTTTGAAACCTAAAAATTTATACAAATAAACATTCTTAAGGCTTTTGACCATTCTCAGTCTAGTAATTTGAGTTTTTAAAATTTCTTTATTAATTATATTATTAGGATTTTACATTTTTCTTGTTATTATTAATCTCTATTAATTTAAGTAATAATTTTAGTTGTCTTTCAGTTAAAGCATACAATTTGATTATTATTATTATGTCTAATATTGCAAATTAGGATTGATAAACAAAACAATTTTAGAACTCTAAGTTGCAATGAGGCTCCCAAAAATTTAAGAGCGATAGTTTAGATCGATTTTTAAACACTTTGAGTTAAAGTCAAATCAAACAATTTTTTTTTTATAATGTGACTAAGATCACGGGTTTTATTGAATTAACTACATTGTTAGGCAACTAATTTTACAAGCTTTGAGGCGGTTCACTATCCACACTCGAATACTGAACCGATTTTCGAGTTTTTGCTTCTTTTTCAACAAGGAGAAAGCGAGCGATTGGACTGATTAAATTTTTGTCGACTCGAAAATTTGATTTTTGGGTCAAACAACTGATCAAAGATGCCATGATTATCGTGACAATTACACCAATCACCGAATAGTAGAAGTATGAAATTTGAAACAACCAGGGAGGTGGCGATTTATCACTAAAACAAGTTTTGTAACTAAAAAAAATAAATAAAAAAATACCGACATTGTAGTC